ATATACCTAGTGTTTACTGTGGTTGCTAAAAGGTCAATGCTCTCTATGTCCTGTGCCATGTGTTCTTCGTACACTACTCATGGCACATGCCTACATTAACTTTGCAATAACCATTTTACATGTGTCACGTTTAAGGACCACGGGTGTCACATGAACTTTAAATGTTCTGGAAAGTTCCTTATACAACTTTAGCATTTATTTTATCTCATGAAGTCTCTGAGTGACGCACACTGAACAGTCTGGTGGGTCATGGGCCAGGTCATTTGATGTTGTGTTCCNTGCTAATTAAACCTTACCCAGCTATTTGAATTGATGGATTCAGAATGTACATGGGGTAACATGTTGGGCTTATATATTAAGGGTGGGTGCCGGAAATCATACAGAAATTTAGTAATTACACCCCCAAAAGGAGAAAAGTGGCCTTTTTTCCAGAGACTTAAATGGCTGCCGAAAAATACGGGAAGAAAGGAAGAAGTGGGTCATTAATGAATTTATCCAACGTGCCTGTTCTTTATTGGTATGTTCATGCCTATTGGCTAGTGGATTCCATGCGTCGGCAGTGTGTGGATTCGCTCAACCCACGGCGTCAACTGTGGGCCACTTTTCTGCCGCCCAACGTGCAAGAATGGACTGCAGAGCCCAGGCGAGTCGCGGAAACGCTTATGCCCGGCGGACGCAAATGTATTTGGTCCTTATTCGCCCAAAAAAAAAAAAAAAAAAATTGGGTTAGCCCCTTCCGGGTACTCATTAGGGGGTTTGTGTCGGGTTAGATGCCGTCTTCTTGTTTGTTATGGTACTTTGAATTCACGCTTTGTGTTATGTTCCCCCCAGAGCCCTGGAAGTGGGGGGCTTTTCGGTGCCGCAGCAGCCGCTCACACGACGAAGATTGTTCCGGCATGCCCTTCGAAAGGAGTGCTTGAGTTTCTGCAGCTGAGCTTAACTTTAGATAAAAATGATACATGGTTGTTGTACGCGCTGCAAACGAATGTTGGTTAGAGAAATATCACTCGTCACCGTCTTTGAGCTTGCAATATCAGGATCCATGTATTTGTCGACTCCTCTCCAGAAGCTAGTCGTCAGCATCACAGAGGCCCCATTCAACGTAGTTCACGTGAACAGTGTGCCTTCACATGCTGATGTGTACAAGAGAGGGACTTTACACAGTCACGCAAGATGGAGGAATTAGAATGTCACTTAATGTTGTGTATTATGTGTGTTGATAGCAAGTCGTATACTCCTCAAAGAGGCTGATCATCAATGTTAAATCACCATGGTAGTTCATATGCTCAATTCAGTCCTGGATGCCTCTTCTATGTGTTATATTTTTTCTTTTCTGTTTTGTGACGCAGCTATGTCGTAGCTTGCCTTTGTCTATCTTGTGTACTCTGATATCTGAAGAGTACATTCAGTATTTCCCCAACAAATATACCTAGTGTTTACTGTGGTTGCTAAAAGGTCAATGCTCTCTATGTCCTCTGCCATGTGTTCTTCGTACACTACTCCGATGTCCATGTTTTTTTGTTGCTAAAGGTAAGATTCAAGCCACTTAAGAATGAAAATGCTTACATAACAGGTCCTTTATTACATTTAACCTGTTGTGGGAACATGTCTTGATCAAATTGATATGCAACAAATGAGACAAACATCGCTGTGACACTGGTCACAAAAGGACTTTAAACCTAAACTTTCACAGTAAACCCCAGGGTTCTTACGGTCATTAAAAACCTGGAAAAGTCATGGAAATTTAACTAAAGTTGCATCAAATATAATTTATATTTTATCTAATCGCCAAAATAGTAATACTATAATGATAATAAATACTGTATTGTATAGTAATGAAATGTAAAATGGCTTTTAACTGACGAGGTGTTTTGCTGGTGAGAGAGTTTAGTTGCTTTAGCATGTAGAAGCTAGTATGTTTTAGATAGGCACAACATGTTTCATATGTTCTTTATTCTTCAATTCAAAGAATGTTCAAACTAATTCAAACCAACAAATCATCCTCATTAATGAAGTTATATATAAGAGTTATTTTACCATTAAAGCCCAATGTGACATATACAGTATGTTTTTCAGATATTTGACACTAGGGGGGGTTACTTGTCAGAAATATGTTCTAGGTGGTCTATTTAGTCTAAATTATGTTCCCTTTAATTTCCCCTAAAGTAGAAATGGGTCCGGGTTCTTTTAGGTTAAAAGGAATGTTCACATTTATTGTTTAAGTGAATATTGATTGTTGGTAGTGTTTTTAAATCTTTAAAGATATCCTGTATATTCCTTTCTCCTTCCAAAGGTCCCACACTGGGGCTTTGACATAAAATGAGGGTTCAATATGGAAAAGTCAAAAATGTAAATTGCAGTAAGCACCATATTTGTTGAAGGCTTAATATTTGTTAAAATAAGTAAGTCATTTTAGAGCTGCTAAGTTATCCCTGCATTCTACTCCATATACTACTATTAATATTGTACTAAAATAAGTAATATTTTACTTAACAAAGATATTCGTTTGATTAGGATCCTATTTAAAAAATCTTACGGTTATCATTTCATATGTTTTCAATGATAATTATGATTAGAAATGATCAAACCCGTCAATATTATCAATCAAAATAATCACAATTACTCATTTTTTACATATCGTGCAGCCCAATTACATTTCTAACAAAAATCTTTTTTATGTTCCCAGAGTGAAGTCACGGAGTCGCAGGTAAAACACATTTCTTTCTTTCTCATAATACTACATATCATTACCTTCCTTTGCCACACTCTCACTGGTAACGTTTCATCCACAGCACCTGAGTCTGAAGAGCAGCGACACAGAGAACTTCTCCGTCAACGTGGACATCGATGATGACGATGACATGTCAACTGACGATGATGATGATGTGAGTTTATATATAAAGACAGGAAGACGTGTGATTTGGACCTCTTATAGGCCTGAATAGTGGTTGCTAAAGGCGTGCAGTTATTCTTCCTTCACACGGAAAACATCTCCGTGGTCTTCTCCATTCATGTCAGTTACCCTGCTCTCCAGGAGTTACCACTTTCCAAGACAGGAAAACAACTATCACAGCATTTATGAAGCATCTCAAGTCTCCTTGAATGCTCTGTTTGGCCGAATTTAGAATGTGGCTTATTATTAGACAGTTTCAGTCGGAAAAATAACCAATTTCTGAATTCACAGCATTTTCTTTGTTGTTTGACAGCAGGGTTGGATAGATGAAGATTTGAATAGTATGAAAGTAGATTTGAGTCATTTACAGCAACGGTCCCCAACCTTTTTTGCGCCACGGAACGGTTTCATGTAAGACAAGATTTACACGGACCTCCATTCAAAGTATAGGGGGACACAGGGCTGTCCTGCTGCCGGAGCGCACCGGAATGCCTCTCCGGCACTTTTTTACTGAGAAAATAAACAACATTTGCAGTAACCATAAGCACCGGTGTCCGGCAGACAAACACACTCAGCAGAGTATCATGAGACTGTGACGAGCCTCTTGACCGATGGTAATGTAGTGTCAAGAGACACAGAAGCACAGACGGATGTATCCGGTTATATTTCCAAATAAAACATCTTTCAGACTGATAATCAATCAAATATTTTTGCATTCAATCAATCTTTCTGTGCGGCCCGGTACCAAATGACCCACGGCCCGGTACCGGGCTGTGGACCAGGGGTTGGGGACCACTGATTTACAGGACGGCATAGGTATGGATAAAAGAAAATTGTGAATCGGGCATTCTGAACTAATTGTGTTTTTCCACAATATTGCCCATTTTCTATTTCCACATATACGATTCAACATTTTTAGAAAACAAGTTGATTACACAAACAGTGTTTTTGGGTGTTTGGAGCAGGCAGTCACAATGTTAACGGCTGTGAGTGAGAGACCGTGGGCCGGACCAAAAAGGAGGCGAGCCGCACGGCGTGGACACACTGAACACGGCTACTATAAAAAACCTGATGATTGGCAGCCAAACACACACTGTGCCTTATGCTCTGTGCCCGCCCCTCTGCCCGTGAGCAAGGTGTTATTAATAAAAAAAATGCATCTGAAGTAAAAAAGGATGCATTGATGTTGTCCAGGCAGCCAAGCAGAGAGAACAGGGAAAGCGAAGAGAGAGTGAAGAGAAGTATCAACACGTGCTGGCATGTATGGTAACATTGGCAATGAAAGCAGTGCTTTCTGTGTCTTTGGTTTGGCATAAATTCATCTTTAGTTCTGGTATTTTTCTGGTTTTATTTTTTGGGCTAAGTCATACGTATGTAGGGAACATTTTAACCAAACTTGCAAAAAAAAACACGTTTCCATCCACTACTGTGACTCAAATAAGTGCCAGTCAGACCTCAAATAATAGAAAACCATTTAATGTACATTTGGCAATTCTTTTGTTTCATGTATTTATTTGTCATCTGATTTATTTTGGAGCGGACATTTGAGTCATTTCTGTCACGATTAATTGATTAACCTGTTGCACGTGGTCATTTTACCTGGCCAATTTTATCGTTATCAATAAGACAACTTTTCCACCTTAGCCAAACATAAAAGCAAACATAAAAAACGTTGCAACATTTCCCCCAGGATATAAAAAGTATTGCGGTTATTGATGGATTATTTCCCTCCACCAATTTCGTTTTTTTTCCCCTAAAAAAAAAGTGGAAGGAAACATTTACAGTCTCGAAGTATCAGGGTGTCCGCGGGGTCTTAAAAAGCATTAAAAGTTGATAAATCTATTTAGCGAAAATGAAGGCTATTAAAAAGTATTAAACGGCATTTTCCAAGGTTAATACACGGTAAGATCACGGCTTGATAGCGCGAAGGTCCGTTGACGCCGGTTGTTAAACAACATCGTTTCGGGGGAAATGCAAGTTTGCGTCCAAATGGTTGGAAGATAAGGAGGAAGGACAATCAATACTGTATATAGAAAATCCGAGGTAAAGTGTGTCGCCAAGGTAACCGGTTAAAAATCCACGTGGCGATGAGTATGTTACGATGGATTATTTAATCAACTGAAAATGTGCCACTGACAGTGTTGAAATAACTACATTGAATATGTCTCTTTCTCCCATATTATATACTTGACTTGCCCTCAGTGGCATAAGAAGCGGAAGCGACGGTCCTGTGGAGACTGTAAAGCCTGTCAGTGCAGAAAAGACTGCGGCACGTGTGATTTCTGTGCCGACAAACCAAAGTTCGGAGGCAGCAACAAGAAGAGGCAGAAGTGTCGACTACGCCAGTGTCAAAGACAGGCGATGGTAAAACTCTATCAAATTTTAAATAAAGGTGTTCATCCAGTTATATATGTCAATTTAATGTCTCCGTCTATAATTTGGCAGAGACACTTGCTGCCGTACCAGAGGGGACAAAAAGACCCCGGGCCAGAAAACTTATGGTTGCCGGGCAGACCTCGAACTTACAACACATACAGCCGAAAGTCATGTCTAAAGAAAGGCAAAGGACCATCGGGCTTAGACTTCAGTGACAACGAAGACGAAGACAATAACTTGCAAGCAGTGAGTCCCCAATGCCTTTTATACAATGTTTTATTGTGTCCCCGTCCATATTGAATAAGATATGGAAGATACTCCCAGTTTGGATGAACAGACAAGACACTGAGGCTAAGCTTTATGCTGTTGTGGACGGGGCCGTAGAAAAACGTTGGTGTTGTTGTGTGACTTTGGTGAATCTGAACTAACACTAAAACAACAAAATAGCACAAACTATCAAACCGAATGAGGCAGCGGTCGACCAGTAAGTTCCGCGTTCTGAGCTGTAAAATGACTCATTTCATTTATTAAGTATTAATACAAATATACAAATACAATCATGAGATATAATGGAGGCATGTGAAGCTTTGGGAAACTTGAGAATAGGAGCCCAGAATCTTATCAATACATCCAGTATCGAAAGAGTATTATTCAGAAACATTACTATGGAGTGATGTCATCCGGCAGTGGCTCAGTCGGTAGGGGCTTGGACTGGGAGCCGTCGGTTCAAGTCCCCGAACAGACCCTAAATATGGAGTGTGGACTGCTACTTGCCAGTTCACCTCCTGGGCCCTGCCGTGGTGCCCTTGAGTAAGGCACCGGACTATCTGCTGGTGAGGTAAAGCTGCGAAAATATTCTTCATAAAGCTTAAACTGAACCTGGCATCAACTTTTTCATCTGGGTTTTTATTTTAGTTGGCCGATAACCCTTTTACCCCCGAGTTGGTGCCGAATGAAATCTGTAAAAATAAGACAAGGTGAGAACAGCTCAAGCCTATTCGGCCATTGTTGTTGTTGTGAGTGATGTTCACCCTGGCAGATCTGAGAAAAGCAGCACTGAAACTGAGACATCATAACGTGGCTCCTCTCGGGCTCTGGTCGGTGGAAAAGCAAACTATCTTTTAAGTGATTAGCCGTTTTAATCAGCTGACACCCAAAGTACCAAACTAGAACGGAGCTCTTTTGGCTGGAAAAGGGGTGTGTAATACATGCCCCTGGCCACAGCAGTGCTTTTCTTGTTTGCCGTTATGTTTCTCCAAACTAGAGGTGTACAGACCACCCACCATATACACTCACTATGGATAAGTAGTACCTTACACAACCCCTTATTAAAACATCTGAATGATCCTTTAAGGAAGAAAGGTTGGTTTCTTCTTACTCATGTTTCACTGCTGTAGATTAACTGGAACCCTGATATGATCGGTGCGGACAGTCTCTCCTATGAACTGAATGTGAGAAACCACCAATCATCTATGCAGGTTTGAAAATAGACTATATATTTACATGTTTTTGTTACCTCAGGCTTATCTTACCGAAACATAATGCAAACTTCATTTTGCTCTTCCTGCAGTCAAATCATTTGGACTTCGAGCTGAACGGACTCCCTGACAGAGTTCCTCACACCAGCAACGACAGCAACAACAACTCTGAACTGGTATGTTGTTTTTAGTGACGATGCATTTCCTCCTCTCCACCAGGCCAAACACATGTTGAATTGTGTAAATGGTACTAGAGTGTAGGGCTGCACGATTTGGGGAAATAATCTAATTGCGATTCGATTTGCGATATTTGTTTTTAAGCGACCCAACGGAAGTTTATTGTAAAATGCGGCCATATCTCCGGTTAGGAAGGTCGTATCAACGTGCTCCCGTCTCTAGCACCCCCGCAGCCCGAGCTACGAGTGAAAGAACTAAACTTACATGAAACTTCCGTTGGGTTGCTTTAAAGTCAAGCTTCAGTTTAAGACTCACCCTGTAATAGAAACATGTGATGGAGCATTACTAACCTGACTCAGATGGGTTTTTTTGTTGTAGCAATTTATCATTAAGTCTAATTTAATCATAAGTATTACTGTAACTTAATTATCTGTTTATTTCCCACTGATTGAATTCACATCTAGCCTCTAAACGTCATCTTCCTTAGAACAAACCAAAGTCTGTCTCTACAACCATTGGTTTGTAATTAACATGTATGTCAAGTTTCAACCGTCTGGTCAACACTTCTTGTCATGTAAATCCACTTGCTGAAGACCTTCCCCTTCCCTCCTTCTGTAGTGTGTAAGGTATTGGTGTTTTCTTTGGATGGAAAGATCTTGTGCTGACTTCTTGGTGCAAGACTCTGTCCTTTCGGCTGAAATAGATGAACTCTGTTAAAAGCTTTTTGACTTTTATTGACATTATTAAAATAACACAACTTTGCTTTAAACTTCTATTATTTGTTCATGTCTTGCCAACCAGGTGGTTTCTGTTTTTAAAGTGGAATTTCCTCCCCATGTTTCACCAAACCATCTAGGAGAGCTCCATTGGAAGCCATTTGGAAAAGTATTTAAAAAATACTTGGCAGGTGATTGGATCAATCTGTCTATCACCTTCTATCATGGGCCACTTCTGATTGGTTAACAATAACTGGTGATGGAGCACAGCACTTCTGATTGGTTAACAATGACTGGTACATNAGTAAAGTATAATCAGAATCTGAAACTGGTTGACACGTACGAGGAATTTGACTTCATGGTGCATACATAGGTCTTTGACGGGTCTCTGGTGCAACTTTGTGGTTTTTTGTTTACCGGCATTGATAATATATATATATGTTATTTTTACAGATTTAACGCGATTAGTTGATTTTGTTTTTTAAGAATCACCAAAGGTATTCCACAACTTTGTCATCCAGGCACTTCTTTTCTCCCGTCTTCCGTTTTGTTGGTTTTTGTTAGGATTTGCAACGGGTCGAGCTGAAATCCATTAGCTTGCCCTGTGGTTAGCCTGCTGTTAGCCTGCTGTGAGTTCATTCACACCCTTCCTTGAGGAACCAATAACCCTCACTCTGTCTCCATTAATACACTTTTGATTAGTTATTTAAGTCCTAAATATTGTCCCTCTCAGCCCAAAAATAAAGACACCGCCCCCTCTTTTATCTCTTCACCAGCAGTACTGACAACCGTGTCGACAACATTGGTCACGTCTACCAGGTCTAATGGATTTACCCAGCAGCCTTCTGGACAAAACAAGTTATGCTCTGGTTTTTATTATATCTAGGCCAATACATCAGTTCCAGTTATTTTCTTGATTTGACTCCACTTGTATTTTTAAATGCATGCTATGTTATGAAGTCATCAAAAGTTAAGAAATTGTTTTGTCCTTCACTTCTGTCATTAACTTGAGGCTAACTCACACGCATATGCCTCAAAAGACGATGGTAGGAATATACGTTTTATTGATGATTTTATTAGACAGATTACGTTCATGTATTCACGTTTTGTTTACCTTATCTGTTTTTTAATTTAATCAGAAATCAACTTCAACACACATTTTCGTTAATTTTTTCTAGCAGTATTGGCTCTCACCTGTTAAATTATCTCCTTTACCAGATACACCTAAAAGGAATTGGAAAACGATGTTGAAAATATTGCGTTTTTCTACTCAAATGTGTTTTTATTGACAGATCACATACGGATTCACTCTTTCACCTAATTTATTTTCAATATAATTGGAAAACAACAAAACATAGCCAAAGGTGAACAATCAATTTACCAAAAATAATACAAATAGAGAAAACATTTTGTGAGTCCCTACTTCACCCCAAATCATTCCACTTTGTTTTAAAGAACCAGATTAAAACGACCTACAACACTTGCAGCTTCATGTTAGAGAGACAAAGAGGAACCACTACTAATTAGAGATCTGAGGTAGTGATGCGAGGACACACGTGGGAGACTGAAGTCGAGATAATGAAAGAAGAAAGATTAAAAACAACCATGTAATGTTCCTGGGGTCCAGACATCAATTATTCCTGACAATTACCGCAGGACGTAAAAGTGTCCAAATGACGGCGAGTTAGAAAGAAACAACTACTTTTTAAACGCGGTGCAGTGAAGCTATTCTGGTATCAAATTAAAAGCAGTTGAACCGTTTAAAACTAACGAGTGACAAATGAATGATTTCTTCCATAACACTGCCTACTAAATATTTCTCCTCCAGGTAATTTTTTTCTTACCAATTTGTTCTACATGCATCATCATTTTGGGCTGCAGCCAAACGTTAGCACTCAGTAAGACATTGTTTGTTAATGTACAATCCCTTTGGTATTTTTTTTTTCTTTCCCACACTGAGACTTGTGTTGTAGCCCAAACTCCCGGAACAGATGACAACTTTATGTATTTATTAGGACGGTAGACAGCGCGTTTAATAACGTGTCCTTGCATCTTTGTTGTGACTCATGTCTATTTATGTATTTGAAACCTTTTCAATTTGTGTAAATTGTATAGTAATTCAATGTTGCTTCCATTCCTCCTCTCCATTGGGACGTTTATGGAGTGACACGATGACGTTCTCAACGTGGAAGTTTATGCATTCTTACTTGTCATATATCAGATTTATTTTTGGTATCTCGGTTTCCTCAAGTAAATGTGCCGATCTGGTAATATTTAACATCAGTTGTTATTCCTTTGAAAAGCTATTGTTATTGTTTAGCTTTGAATTTAAACTTATTCAGAGAATTCAAACACATTTGTCTTTTCTGTGTCTTCCTCATGGCTGTGTTCAAATAAACCCTTTTTTTGTCAATTGAAAAGCTTTTTATACAACCAATGGATATGCTACATCTGATACACTTCTCAAAAATAATTAGCTATTTTAGCTGCTGCTTCTGTGCATATCTGGTTATTTTATTATATTTGTCAGGGTTTATTACGTGACAGTAAACTGATCCGGATAGTGTTTCACTGACTGAGTGCTTGAGGTATTCACTTTTTTATTAAGCGTTGTATGGAAACAACAGCTAATGCCTCAGCTATGTTTTGTATCGCATAAGAGACTTCGATCTGTGGTCCATCGATGTGTGTTTGAAGTGAAGCATCTCAAACGGCCTGCAGTGTGTTATGTAGCATTAGGATTACTATGCACCATTGTTCAAATGGAAAGGCTGCCTTAAAATGGTTTGTTTGACTTTAATGTATCCTCTGTAGCTTGAACCACGAAACGCTGTTATCATAATATACACTATGTTATTCGAATAACCTTTATTGGCAAGACAAATCAAAAACCCATATTGCCAGAACAGTATAATTAAACTTGATGAGATAATCAGCAAGATGTATACAGTGCCTATTTTAATCCAGAAATGTATTTTTCTTACAGGCTTCAGCTTGACTAGACTATTACTTAATTAATTTACTGTAATATATATACATGTTTTCTTTTAAAATATCAAATCAAATAAGGTGAAAACAATTGAAGGGTGGTTACTTATGCATATGTTTGTTTACTGGATAAGAAAGTCCTATACATAAAAATATTTAAGTATTTCTTTTATTTCTTTAAAAAATAATTGGATAAACCTCAAATCAGCCTAATGTTTTTTTTTTTTTAATTCAGTAGCCAAATGTTCTTTCAATAATTGGAGGAATAACGTTTTTCTTCAGCGTTATTGTGTATGGAAAATGTGTTTTAATATAATAAAAAAACAATGTATTTGTATGCATACAAGACTTACAAAATACCAAATGAAATAATAGGGACAAATAAATAATTTAAATGTGTATATATTTTTAACTGGATGATAAGGAAACGAAAATGTAAATGTATTCTACAATACGATTTAAAAAAAGATAAAAACTATCACAAATAATTAAAATATGTACATACATTTTGGTTTTTAAAATACTTGTGGAGAGGGACCACTCGAGCACTACACGTCAATTCACCCTCAATGTCTTTATTTATTTATTATTTAGCGTCATTGCTCCACTATGCAACAACTGGATCACAACAGTCTGACGGGATTAAGTGGCGCACTCTGAGGCAGGAGCATCGGGGAGGGGCGTCCGTGAGACAGCGTCCATCGGCGGAAACGGAGGGTTCATCCGGTGCAGCAGGGAAGCCTTTCTTCTCCAGAGCAGGTCTGCTGCTGAATTACAATTGGGATACGAAGCCACCATGAACGAGGGGCTTTTTTCCCCTGTATTCCTGCACGTTTAATTAATGAAGACATCAATCTCTCCTGGGGGAGGATTTCTACCCTGTGGTTTGATGCAGGAATGATTTTTCTCGGCTTGGTTTTGCTACAGAGGACCATGGAGACCTCCGAAGGCATCGGTCATGCTCTCTGGTAAGATGTCCTTCTCATCCTTACGGGGCGTATTAATGAATAGTCAGTATATTCTCTATTAAAAAAAACAGCGTAGCCTTCATACGAGACGCTATTTTCCATAACATGTATCATGTGGCATTTACCTTAACGTAAAAAAACGTGTTTGTCATCGTGTCATAGTGTCATCGACACACCTGCGATATGTTATTTTTCCATGAATTAGAGTTTGATTAGCAGCCGGTGCTTCTGCCGTGTGCAGCCACTATGCAGATGTCTGCAGCCTCAGAAGCCGGGCTTAATGTGGGGTGCACATGCTTTAAATGATACAACACGCCTGTAAATTAAAAGGGGGCTGTGTTGAATGAAATCCAATATATCTGTGCTGTAGGTTTATTATTCCAGCGCCTTGAAAACGGTATACTGTCTGTGTCATTAAAAAGGCAGGAAATGCAACAGCATCTGTATTCAAATGAGCAGCTTTAAATATGTGTGTCATGCTTCTTGGGAATAGACAACTTCCCTGTTTACTGCATTGTTATTATGGGGCAAAATAGGCTATGTGCTGCTGCCTAATGGGTCTTATTGATTTCGTTTATGAATACCCATGCAGCAGCCCTGTTATTATAACGGATTCCTGAACAAGCATGTCTGTCTGGATGTGGAAAAAAACAAAACTCATCAGTATGTGTTGTGTGGGTCAGTCAGTGCCTTCAGGCTGATTCTCAGCTATTCTGCCTCTCGGTGTAAGAACTGGGAAACACCTCTCTGCTTTTTCTGATGAGGATATTCCATTTTGATGCCAAGTAATATTCAAAGTGCTGATCGTTCCTATTTTGGGGTTCTTGGACCATCAGGGCAATTAACAAAGAGGTTTGGGTGTTTTATTGCAGGGGAAGCTGGAGGACCATTCATGCTCAGTGTTTCTTGACACATGTTGGTGTTTGTTTTCTCCCCGCGCTGTTTGCTGTTATCTGCAAATTGGTAGCATGGCACTCTACTCTCCTTTTTAAAGCACTCCCCGTGGTTTTCCTGTTGCTATAATTCAATCAAACACCATGGAATTGACCCAGTTTGGTGCAAACACAATTCTTTTGCCATTACACCAAGGTGACACTGCAATGTTTATGAAGCCCTAAAGACATGGACTGACACGATGTGAGCATCTGGTTCACTAGCAGTTGACTGACAAGCATGCAGGTTTAAGTGGGGGTCTGTGTAAAGTCACACACTCACCCCTCTGATCTGGATCTAGAACCTTTTAGAAAAAAAACTCTTGCCCGTGCATTTGCTCGGATTTAAAGTGAAAACACGTCTTGGTGTGTGAGCTCAGGGAATCAAATCCCAGACCTTATCAAGAGCTGAAAATATACCAGAGCAGGAATAAGCGAGAGAATTCACCCACATTTCTCCAGTCATAAAGGGCACAAAAGAATCAGATCAAGCTGTTATGTCTAGTGTTCAATGTAAGCGCACGGCTGTGGCTGCTCATAAGCAGCTCTGAACTCCGTCCAAAACCAAAAAGGGCTGATTACAGCTTCAGAGGAAACATAAAAACAATTTAGGAATACATACGGAAATCCCCCAGGTGTCACAGAGCAAAGGGAAAATGCATAGGAATAATCCCCTCGGACGTTAGAGCCGCATTCCTTTCTTTATTACTCCCCCCTCTTCAGCTTTGCAGGATCCAGGTAGATGGCAATCACCGGGATTGCTTTATTTCTACCGGCTCTATAGGTAGCTGTGTCAAACTGGCAAAGGTGAGCGTCAAGGCCGGTGAGGAGAAACGGTGAGCCACGCGATTGGTCAGTCCAGGGCTAAGCTGTCCTGTTGTGTGCCGATAAGCGTGTTATAAATCAGTATTTCATGGATATAGAGAGCACCAGAGGGGGGCTGGGTGACCTGACCTTCCATAAGCCCTTCATAGATATTTGGTTGGGGTTGCTCAGGTGGAGGTAGTTCAGTAAATCCTCTGCACGCAATCTGCCGTACGTCTGACCCCGAATGAGCTCTTAATCATACATAAACATGAATCTGCCTCCCACCCCCCACAAGGTTAAAACATTTAGATGTCGACATTTCAGTTCCCCATCATCATCATTACAAGTGACCAATGGCCATTTATAACATCCTTGGACTTTGAATGGCTTGGAGAGGCGTTCAGATAAAGGTCACATTACTGCTCTCTCACAAATGAACAGAGGGAGGTTCAGAATTGTTGAATGGCTGCCATTTGAAGGCATTTTGTAGCAACGTTTGATATTTCAAAGCTTCACAGTCTGCATCACTACAAGCCTTGTTTTGACTCCTCGGAAATAGGAGTGTGAATTCTTTAATATATCTTGATTCAATTTTATTTTGAGACTTGAGGTCACTATTTGATTTAAAAACAATGTCCAATTCCAAATGGATTTTGAATTTAGGACATAGTGATGCTGTCTTAAGGATCTACTCAAGTACTGTGTGCGTTAATTAATACAGTGCAGCAACCAATACATTAAAGGTGGGGTAGGTAATTTTGGAGAAACCAGCTTGAGTGCGCGAGAATTTGAAAATACACAACCGGAAAAAATCTGCCCCTTCCTTACAGAACCTCTCCTCCAACACACACGAACGCGCACATGACCAATGAGGGCACGAGATAAGTTAGTGCACAGATGGAAGGCTGACAGGCAGGTAGGTCATCCAGTTATTTTAGCCGGGCCGTCGTACTTTTTACAGCACTACGGCTGATGACATTTAATGTATTTTTTGTCAAAGCACTGAAGATATTCATTGCTATCGGGCTGTTAAGAGCATTCCATGGAATATAACAAAAAGCGTATCTCGAGCCGGTTTCTCAAACTTACCTACCCCACCTTTAAGTTTAATTAAAGAGGACATATTATAATGCTCATTTTCAAGTTTCAACCGCTTAGAGATGTCCCGTACAATGTGTTGGAGCATTAGTCAATAGAAGCGCAAGTGTTACATAGTAAAGTCACTATGTAACAGAAGTAAACAAAGGAGTTCAATTGGGAGGAGTGTGTGGGAGAGAAACTCCATCTGGAGGGAACTTTGGGATTATAGCCTTGGCAGACCATTTACATTTCAAAAACCTAAATTAAACACTATAGAAGTGAAAACTCCAAAAAGCCGTATGGGGCCTCTTTAAGTAAAATTGGACTTTTACATGAATAAACCTGATGCATAGCTGCCTTTTTTATTTCTCAGAAACTGTCTCTGAAAAGTGTTATTTCACGTAATATTTTTTTAAACAAATCACGCGAAGTACAAGTCACAACTTTGACTTTAGGATTATTGTCTATGAATAGCAATATCTAGGTGTTCACAACTAACTATTAAACTATTGTTTTCCAGACCCCATACTTTTTTTGTGAATTGTTGTCCTGACATGCCATTGAAACCCTTATTAGAGTGAACCTAGCAATACTTAAAATAATTGAAAGCATCCCAGTCTGTAACACTATTGTCTTGGTTGTGCCTCCTCACAAAGCAGTCGTAAACCCTGCTCGGGTTACCATGTGTAAGTTCATAACAGTAGCAGCTGTGTCAACACCAACAGTCAACACAGGGCTGCCGGCCTCACCTGTACGCAGAGGGTAGAGGTGATATTTCAGCTGCTCTTAAACCTCTCAGCTGCTCCACACAGCCTGTTGAAAGAGACTAACAATCCCATTGTGCATCCCTACCACCTGCAACAGATACGCAGATTGTTGCAGAAGTTACACATTAAGACAAGCTGTACTGTAAGTCGTGAATACATCTGTTACATAAACGCTGTTGACAACAGCAGCCTGTTCCCGGGACTCTTGGGCCAAATAAAAGCTGACAGCAAAGAGAGTGAATCTCTTTAAGAGCTGCGAGGCATCGTGTTTATCAAGGGGATGAGAAAACTGGATATAAAACTGTTGCCTGTAGGAATTTAGCTTGACTGTGAATGTTGTGATCTAATATGTGTGAAGTGAAGGTGCCGCAGACACGGCAGGATCGGACCTACCTTCCAGGCTTCAGTGTTCTGCCCGCCGGACTTGAATATTAAACTCGCGGCTGATTTGCATTCGTGTGATGCACGCTGCACAGGGGCAGCTCCCTCTCATCACACAGCTCATGTTTTAATCAACACGGTTCCCACAGTGCTATCTACCCCCATCCATTGCCCACCCCCCATATGTTAAGTCAACATGTGTTTGATGATCACGTTCATTTCTCTCGTACTCATATCTCCTGATCCCCTCCTTTGATGCCGCTCTCTGCGACTCTGTGTTTATCTCGTTCTTCTTTGTCCCGCCATCTCTCCCGCAGGCTTCTCTCAGGAATGTGATGCTGTCTCATGTTGTTGTACCTGTACTTCTGCACACATCTGTACACCAGATGTTCAAGCTGTTTAACGCTTGACTTCAGCCAGGGAGACCACTGATCCTCTCAGGTGTGTCATTTGTTAGACTCAGTCGTGGTTGGAGGCCCGACCTGTTGCACCTGATTGATTCGTCCTTTACTTAAAGCAATAGGCCCTACTTGAGTTTGTGGTAACTCCGGAGGCCCTCTATATGCTGCTCAGCCCTCACTACCGTTGTGTTTTTGCCCTTTGCAGGGATCTTGTAAAAAAAATGTTGGTTCATATTATAGCGCCATTTTACGTTTCTCCGATGCATTTTCCTTCTGACAATCCTCATTCTATAGTTGGCACTTTTCTGTTCCAATTATCAAAATGGGGTCATCCCTTTTATTCTTGGGGTCCCATGTTCTTGATAACATTTTAGGAGGTTGATTAAGGCTTAGCAAAATCAAACGAACTGTCTTGCTGGCAAATTGGAGTTAGTTACAAGGGGAATAACATCAGTTAGGCTGTTGGTGGGGGTTTCTACATTTGAACAAGATAAACAGTCATGTTGATATCATAAAACTCTTCCAAAGAAATTTTTTTGTGGCGTTTCACATTACTTCACATACCTCAATTGATGAAAAGTTGAGATGGTACATTTGACAGGATTTGTTGAATGTCATTAATATGGCTGCTGTTCTTGAAAGTTGATGTGGGATTACGCTGTGGAATAAAACATTTGTGCATTTTGTTTAGATGCCACAACTGTGTGTGTTGTCCGATAGAGAAGTAAGTCATTAAGTCAGTGAACCTACTTAGTAATGTCAGTTACACACTTGCTAACGTCTGCTAACATTAGCCACCACTAGCTACTAGCAGTAGCTACTACAGGAGCCAATGGTGACTAATGTTAGCAAACGTTAGCAAGTAACCACAGTAGATAGTCATGGCTAATGTTAGCAAAATGTTAGCAAAATAACACTGCTGTGTAACTGACGTTTAAGTCGGTTTACTTATTTAATTACTCAATTTACTTCACTAGCTCTTACAGTAGCTAGTGGGGTTTATTGCTAATGAAGTGTTGCTAATGAATTAAACTTTGTATTTGTAAGATGGAGAATGTGTTATTTCTTTCTTCAAATAGCTATGCCAGTTGGAGCAGCAATGTTAAAACAGCGTTTAACCAAGGGCACTGAAGTCAAAGGACTGTAAGTAGTGAAAGTGATAAAAGGCCTTTTTTTAGTGAGTGAAAAGGACAACACCAAGCATCCAAGCAAATGTTTATGTTGCTGGACAAAGCCATTCCTTCGAGGCAGGGCAGCCTTTTGGCTCCAGCTGCCAGGCGACCATTGCGATGAATACCAAATGTCTCTGTCTGTCTTCTCCCAAATGCTTCTCTCTGGAGGTTTACCGCTCAGCCTCGCTGCTCAGCAGAGAACAGACATGACACTGCCTCGTACATTCCCAGATGAAAAGACCTTCTCAGTTTATTAGATTATCCTAAAACCTGATTATCCCTGGCTCAGCATTGTTTAACTGGGTTCATGTGATGAGCTTTTGTCCGAACAGCGGTCGTATAACTCTGCCACTGGTTTGCGTGAAAGGCTCATACTTGTCTGTCAATGGGAGGTCAAGCATGCTGGGCTTTCACACGTACAGGAGTAAACAGCAGTTACTGGCTCAGATCCAGGACAGGAGCCAACACAAACTCGCTACAAGTATTTCAAGTATGTCTTCAGACAATGTGAGCCTTGTGTTGTTTGAGTGAGGAAAACAGAGAACTGTGTCTTAAATTCCCCCAAAAAGCAAAAGAATCTGGTAGATTATGTGCAGAGCTTTGAAGCAGCTGCTCAGAGGAGCTGATAGATAAATGTTTCCTTTTGAAAGATGGGATGCTGGCAGAAGCAGTCTTTGGACGGGTAAATCATGATTAAGCCCTCGAGGCCTTCCTTTTAGAAATCTAAGGGGTTGAATGGAGTCGTTTTATGATTTACCCGACTGGCAAGATGCTTGTGTATGGCAGCGATTTGTGAGCAGCGTTGAGTGAGAGACTTTTGGCAGAAAACGCAATCTCTATTTTTGGATGTCGAGTCTCTATTGGGAATTAGGGAAGAGGTTTGGTTTGTAATGAACCTCGGTTATGTGGGGAAAAGTGCACATGATTCATTGCTCACATGCTACAATTAATTGAAGGCAGCATTGTGTTTTTTTTTTTTATAGGGTCAATGTTAGGCAACAGTTTATTTTCTTAGCATATACAAGAGGATCTGATATTGAAAAAGCTATAAAACATATTAAATGCAATTCCATGTATAGTGAATTTCCTGTAAACCTTGATATTTATGGCGACTGGAAAGAGGAAAACTCTGCAGAACATTGCATTTATTCCTCCTAGCTTCCTCTTGTATTTATTCCATCACTTTGCTCCTGGCTGTAATCCTCTGGGTCCCTCTCTTTTTCTCTTTTGTACCAGTAGCTATTGAAACATAAAACACTCAGGGTTTAGGTTTCACCCTCTCTGTTTCTGCCCATACATTATTAATGTTTCTTATCCTGTCTCGCTTCCTTCTCTTTGCAAATGAATTGGTGGCTAATTGAAACTGAAAGCTATTTTTAGAGTATTACTTACTTTCAAAAAGCCCTAAGGGGCAACTAAGGTTATCATTCAAACTTTTGATCATTTTACATGTTAGACGCTTTTATCCAAAGCATCTTACATACTCAATACTGAACCCCACAGGAGCAATTCGGGGTGAAGTGTCTTGCCCAGGGAACCAACGACATGCTGACTGTAGCGGGGTTTGAACCCCTGATCCGAACACCAACGCACAACTCACTGCACCACACGCCCCCCCCCGCCCGCATTTCTAAATCTTCAATCAAAACCAGTAGAATGCTTATTATTAATATGGCTTTATGTAATGTAAAATCTGGGATTTATTTTGCTTTTCGTCAGGGTTGGGAGTCTATGCTTTCCATCACAATAGTTACATGTGAAAAAATGTAATCCGTTAACTAATCTAAGAATCACAATTTAAAAGAAATGTAACCTGATTACTTTCCATTACTTTTGGATAATGTCAATATCGAATGCAATGCCAATAGATACAAGATAAAATAGATATCAATACGATGCCTCTTACTTAAGTGTATTATGTAAGACCACACATGTAACCCTATATTAAAAGAAAACAATATATTTAGTATCAAGAATGTATCAAAAACGCTTATAGAATAGTTTACAAATGCTGTTTTAGTTTAATATATTCATTGAAAACAAACACAATATTTTAGTTTAATAAATCAGCTGTCTACTTACTGAATAAAGAAAGATTTCAAAAATAGACAAGAATGAAACTAGCCTAAATAATAACCAAATGGAAAATTCAGGCTGTACGTCTCCTATAATGTATCATTCTTTATTTAAAAATGTATCCTTCTAGTTATCTCCATTTTTCAAATCAATGTTCCACTGTTTTCTTTCAAGCTGTATTAGTAATGTGTTTATATTTGTTTAACCTTTTCAAGGCTTTAAACACCTGAACAGAGGTGCAGTAGCTCCCCCTGATGGAACCTGACACCAAAGCTTATCTACTGCAGACTTGAAAAATGCAACCGTTAGTCCTCGAGAAAACACATGGCTGATTCTGCAAGATCAGAGAAAGAAAAACATCTAAACCTGAACGTATTTTGTTGATCCATCTCAGCAGCAGCTAAGCCTCTTTTGCTTTTTCCCTTAGGTGAGGGCGTGACTCGGAGCGAGAGTTGTAAAGTCCCCAGAGTTACATCACATGGAGGTCAAAGGTCATCTGATCACATCCATGGGTTTGGGGGCTCCTGGTGAGTACCATTGACGCGCTATCAGTGTTAACACACACTTTCGTGTCTGGACAAGCCTGGAATGGCTGGTTTGTTTTTTCTTCTCACAGTCTAACAGAAGGAAAATAAAAGTGTGTTTCTCCAGGAAACCACCAGCTGAAAAAACAGTTGCATGTGTGAAGGCCTTTTGTTCATGACCCAGCTGTCAGATTATCTTATCACAGCACTGAGGAACTGTGAGCAACATCAAACTGTGAGAAAAAGCAGCCATTGTGAAACAGAAACACTGCATTTTTAATTTGACATTAAATATTTAATCTATGTCTCAGTTTTAATCTTGCACATCTGCATGCAGGTGATTTAGTCTAAAATGTCTAGCCTTCTGTTTTAAAATGAGAAGTCTGTCGTTTTCTATTTTTCCATTGGTCCACAAACCACCTAAAAAGAAACAAACAACAACGTTAGTTAGTTAGGTAAGGGTTAAAACAACTTCCCTGCCCTGTCTGTTCCTTTAATCCTCAGCCATTTGTTTCCTACACAAGTAAATGGCTCACAAATGGTGTATGTTGGATCCTCACTCAAAGAAAATTGCAGTTTTCATGAACAAGGTTATAAAAGAACAACACGGACAAGAGGAATATGATATATCAGGATTTGGATACACAAACAATACTTGCTAATCTAGGCTTTATTCATTGTTCCCTTGGGTATTTTTCCCTGGGATTTGTTGTAAATTAAATAACAGATTAAACTTGAATTCAGTCCCTCTGAAGATGCACTACATGTGTTGTGTTGTGTAGATGTTCAAGGCTGCCAGGACAGCAAGCTGCAGGCGGAGCGGGTCGCGGCGCTGCAGGACAGGAAGCAGGCCCTGGAGGCTCTGCTCAGCTCCAGAGTGGGAGAGCTCAAACATGTCTGTCTGCAGGAAGCTGTGAGTAGCTCTCACTTCACAAAGATAATGTGGCTCAGGCAACACATTCTTACTTCATGTATCAAGTATTTATGTAATCTACAATTTGTTCATGTTGTGATTTTAGGACCATTGTTGGTAAAAAGAGGGTTATATTTTGAGAACAAGCTCTGGGTTTTAAAGTCAAACCTAATTTTACTAGAAAAAGACAACTATATACTGGAGATTAGTGGTTGGAGAAGTGGTAAATCTATGTGTTTAAAGGTACAACATTCCTGCTTCATACGTATCAAGTGTTTAGATGTCAACTACAATTTGTTCATGTTGGGTTTTACTAATGTTTTTACAGATTGTTAACATAACTATGAACCTCTAAACGTAAATGCCCACAACAGTGTATCTGGCCCAATGTAGTTACAGAAAAAAGGATTATATTTTGAGAAAAAGCTCAGGCTTTTTAAGATTAAAGTCAAAGCCTAATTTTACTCGAAAAAACAACAACTACATACTGGAGATTAAAGTGGAAAGAAAAACCCCTCATTAATAAGAAAAACACTGAAGTATTCGTTCTTTTTCTCTAACTTACTACTTTATGTAATATCTACGTTTTTTTTCTTGTTACATATTTGAAATGTTTGTTTATATACCTATACTTGACTTTTATATGCTGTTGTAAGATCTTCCTGGCAACCAGTTTTTCTTAATCGTGTCCAATTGGTTGCATATTTGATTTGCCTGATTGATGTCAACCCCTCCTAATCTAGAATAACCTGCCTCTGCTTTTCATGAAGAGCTGTTTTAAACATCCCTATTTTTCAACTGGATGTATCGTCACTGGATGTATGGTGTCTGAATATGCTCTATTTTAGGATTCACAACTAGTCTTCTCTGTTTTCAGTGTCGCGATTTTAGAAGTTTAAACCCCTTTTCATCTGCACAATTATTCTGTTACTGCTTTAGTGGTGAATCCTGTTAGAAACAATATTTATGGCTTCTATTTCAGTGCAGTCAACCATTTAAGAGCAGGTTTTTTATTGAGACTTTAAGTAATCTGTTAAGTGGTGTAATTTTATGTAACACTTTGGAGCTCCCTGGCCGGTGAGAAGATGGATTTTAGTTTCTTGGGGCTAATGAATGTGCCTCTGCAGGAGCTGACTGGGAAGCTTTCACATGCTTTCCCCCTGGAAACGGGAGAGAAACCCCCAGTGGTGCAGCGCAGAGCTGGCCTGCTGCCCAACACCAAGGCAGAGGTAAGTCAACACCTTGAATATCAATAGTGTTTACGCAGCAGCTGTACCTCTGTATGTACTCGTGGTCTAACACGGCCGACTGTCTGCAGGATGAGGCTGCCCAGAGAAAGCAGATGAAGGCCATCTTCACCGGGGCTCTGTACAGACACTCGGAGTCAGACCGAAATATCCCCAACAGCAAGAGGACGGTTCATCGGGGCTGTCACACAGGTACAGAAACAACACCCATACTTCCACGGATCTTATAATATCAAGGCTTCTTCTTTCAGAGTAGTCATAAAGAAAAATGTCAAGAAACACTCTGATTCCTCCTAAATTCACCAGAAGTTATTATGGTATATAACAATTTTCCGGTCTTTGTAGCCCCTCAACTTGTTTTTAAATATACAAGTCAGCATTCACCCATTCACACACATTCATACGGAGGAAGACGCTGATATACAAGTTGCGGCCTGCTAAGGGAAGCTAACAATCTCACACTGTCGGCCATGACATGTGTCTAAGTGTCTTTCCCAAGGACACATTGACATGCAGGGGGCTGGGGGTTGGGTATTGAACCATCAACCTTCCTATTGGAGGACATCCATTCTACCTTCTGAGCCACAGCCGTCCCATTACATTAAAGAAGGCCTCATTTGCAATTATTAAAAATAAGATAACACTTCAGAAAACGTTTCTGGAAAAACACATTTCTTAATACAGGAAATCACCTGGGGTAGTTTCATGTTGACATGTAGTATTTATTTATTATTAAGTGTTTCTACATGTACCTGCGCCAGTGCCTCCCCTAAAAAGAAACAAGTACATATCTCTTAAAAGTGAATAAAGACAAAGCTTTATTGTCATTAACATTTTAAATATTTGAAAAACAAACTCGTACAGAAGAAGATTAAGGCCATCACTGACTAAAAGTGATTTTATTTTTGTGATTTCTGAGAAGAAAGTCAGAATTATGACTTAAATCTCACAGCTTTGAGAAAAAAGTAAAAAAAACATCTCTTTTAGTCAAATCTCAATTAAAATGTCTTCTGTTAACTTGCATTTATGTTGAACAAAGACTTCCTGCTGCATCATCTGTGAATGGTTTGTTGTCTTTCAGAGGACACTGTCATGTCAGAGAGTACAAGCTCCATGTCAGACTCAACATCCCATGATAATGGTGAGTCCACTGAACACAGACCGACAGGCAACAACTATCTCTGGTGGATTCTGTACATCTGTATTCATAATCAGCTTAACTCACTCAGTAGTTGGCAGGCAGTAGAATTAGCTCAGTGTATTTGAAGCCTTTTTCACATTCAAAATACATCCCTCTGTGTCACTTATGGTAAGACACAAAAATAATTCAGATTCAGACGACTTTATTGTCCATAACATTTACATAAAATGGAAATGGTTCTTTCGTACTAGCAAAACTACACTCACCATGCAGAGCACAAAGTACAATTCAGAAACAATTGCATCTTAAAGTCGTAAAGTGAATAAGTGACTGTCATAATAAAAGTGCTAAGTGATTTGTTCTTGTACTGGTTTGTGGTCCATTAAGATTTAACGTCAGAGCATTACTGACACTTACACTCAGTTGTATTAAAAATAAATAGTATACATTAAAATTAGGTGATGGTGTTGCTGGCAGAATGTCCTAAGAGGGATCGTTCAGTCACATCTCAGTTGTTAAATTGCACATTAAAGGTGGGGTATGTAATTTATTTCAGAAACACTTTTTGTTATATTCCATGGAATGCTCTTAACATCGCAATGAATATCTTAAATGCTTTGACAAAAAATCCATAAAAAAATGTCATCTGTGGAAGCCTGTAAAAAGCACGACCAATCATCGGCCGGCTAAAGTAACTGGATGGCCTACCTGCCTGTCAACCTTCCATCTGTGCACAAACTTATCTCGTGCCCTCATTGGTCATGTGCGCGTTCGTGTGTGTTGGAGGAGGGGCTCTGTAAGGAAGTAGCAGATTTCTTCCGGCTGTATATTTTCAAATTGTAGCGCACTCGAGCTGGTTTCTCCAAAATGACCTACCCCACCCTTAAGCTTGTTGTACTTCTAAAAACAGTGATAATGTCTTTGTACTTGGGATTGTGGGAAACGGTATTTTGATCTCTCTGTCTGTACACACAAACTGAAAGATTGACCGTAAATTTGACTTTGACTTTGTTTCTCTCCTCCCTAAAGAGTCTTCTCCCAGCGTGGTGGCGGACCAGCGCTCTCTGTCTCAGCCCCGGCTCACAGTGGGCAGCCCCGACCACAGGATCAGCAGGAAGCTGTCGCCAGTCGAGATCTACTACGAGATGAGGACACGCCGCAACTCTGTCACCAGCTCCGTCAGGTTCGTCTCTCAAAGTGTCTCCACACTGCAAGCTGTGCGGTCTGCTTCATGTTTCACAGTGAACCTGCTATACTGTTAAAAAACAGGGAAGCACATTTGAAAAGATATATAATTAGTATTCCTCCAAAGATCATGCATTTCACCACACCCTGACCTCTTGGATTATATCGAGGAACAGCGTCCTTCACTTGTCTACATATATTAAATATAAATAGCCATTTTAAAAGAGCCAAACATTTGATTTAGTTTATTTGCTACACTACTACAATGCAAACCTGAAAATGATCATTTATATATCCTCTTTTAAGGATATTTCTTACTTGTTTTTGTCTATCGCTGAAAAAAGGTAAATAAGCATTGATATGGGATACTGAGATAAATGCTGCCGATATGTTTAAAAAGTAATGTCGTGAGGTTGCAAACACTCTTTGTCCCCTAATTGAATAAAGTCAATGCCTCTCCTGCTCCATTTCTCAGTTGCCTCTGCATGTCAATGTGATCATAATCATAAATTGCTGATCCTCTTGTGTCTCATCCCACAGCCCGACTCACTCTTTGCCGAGAAGTGCGTCTAACATTGAAGGCAGAAGTGTTCCAGCTACGCCTCTGTTAGCTCGCACGGCTCCCATCAGTGTTCACGTCAGGTAACGTGCCGCTCATCGCCGCTGCTCCTCCCTCCCACTGAGGTCTCTGTGTGCTCAGAAACAGCTTAATGACTTAGTTACATTCAGACACAGTTTCAAGGTTGTTACAGTGATTAGTGTCATATTTAGCTAGCAGCGAGGGCTTGAGCTCATCGTTTGGTGTTTGAGCATACATACTATGTCGCTTCCTAATTGATTTTGTGGGAAATGCAGTAACAGGGTTTAGAATACATTTAAATTCACTCACTTTTTTATCCAAAGATGCCTACGATGGTGACTCTGGGACATTCAAAACAAAGCGTTAAGGAAAAACCCTATGGGAAAAACTCATTATTGAGATTAAAGTGAAATTTGGATACTCTGAGATTGGGGTAGTAAATAAACATTTCAACTCAGAGAAATAAAAAAAAAAAAAATGGCCCTAATACACTGATGCAAGATGCTATTTTCAACCAGTCCTATTACTCATTTAAAATGGGTTGTATATTAATATTTGCTTGACTGCTACGGAGAGCCAGTCAGCAAGTCTTATTAAAGCTAGGACTCCATCAAAGTTACACCGAGCTCAGAAATCAGAATCAGAAACAGGAAAGTAAAACAAACATTTAAAAAAACAGATAGAGAACTATTATAAGAAAATATAATAACATAAAGAAATATTAAAAATAATAGAAAATGTAGTTAAAAATATAGTAAAATAATATAGTGAAAAATATCTCCTAATGTCAGCCGTTGTTGTTTCCGTCTCTTCTTTAGGTCGGACGGGTCAGGCGGTAATGGGCTGAAGCAGTGGTCCGGCAGCCTGGATGTTCCCTACATAATCCCCCTGGCGCAGGAGGGCTCCTCTTCGGACCGCCGCGGCTGCCCCTACAGCTCCCGGGCGCGGCGCAGCAACAGCTCCGAGGCCCTGCTGGACAGATCGAGCCTCCCCGACGACCCGGCCCCCAGGAACGGGATGCCCCCCCGAGGAGGGCCCTACAAGAGCTCAGAGACACTGACCGACGGCAAGCTGAGGCACATCCACCTGGGCAGCCCCGAGAGACACGCCGACGGCAACGTGGATCAGGCCAAACTGCGCCTGTCGATGGGCGACCGGGCGGCGGGCGGGGGCTACAACGAGCTCCTGATGGACTACATCTGGGGCAAGCAGCAGAGGATGCAGCATCACTTGTACCAGTCCACAGGCCGGATCTGGCAGGACGTGCCCTCCCCTCGCTCCTCCACCGCGGCGGTGCCTCCCCACGCTAACGGATTCTCCCACTCCCAGGTGAACCTCCCCAGCGCCGCGCCTCCTTTCAGTCCCATGGTGCTCCGGGGGTCCCAAGCCGAGCTGCGCAGGGTCAAAGTCACCAGGACCAAATCTTGTGGACCCTTTATTCCTTTGCAGCAGCACCCCCAGGACGCCATCCTGCTGTCAGCATACGACTCTCCCCCCCCCGCCTCCGGGAACACCACATCCTCCATCCCCAACCTGCACCCCTACCAGACGGATCTGTCGGGCCCCTCCTTCGGCCGCAGACCCCCTCAGTTCTCCCTCCCGACCCCAGAAGACTCGACGCGGAGCTTACATAAAGCCCTGGCTCTGGAGGGTCTGAGGGACTGGTACCTGAGGAACGCCCTCGGCTACCCCCCCGCTACACCGAAGGGGAACGAGGCGGGGGTCTCTCGCCTCTCACACCCCCACCCGCTGGTGCACCAGCAGTCAGTCCAGGGTGACGCAGCAAGCCCCCCCCGCTCTCAGATGCCCCAGTCAGCCAGCTTCCACGGCCACCCGCTGCACGGGAGGTCAGTGTTTATGTTTCTCTTTTCAATCTGCATGTCTATTGGTAGGATATACAAGGGGTGTCGTCATGGGCGTAGGAAGCATCCTCAATGTGGGTGGGATAATTTGACAGGGGGGTCCGGGGGCATTTTTTCTTAAATGTTGAAGTTAAATGCATCAATCTGGTGCAGTTTGAGAGCAACATTAGGGACTAAATCTATGGATACATCTCTCATCAACACCCATGTGAAACAGAACTGTAAACAGATTTACTTTTTCTTTATGCATATTTTACAAATCACTCCCCTTTTAAACTGTATTTCTGTGTTACTGTCCTATAGTATGAGTTGGAATTATTTCATACCTGTTATTCTCTTGTTCTTTTATAACTATAATGATCATATAAAAGGTGTGCCTTGGAAATACTTATTTACATAAATGATTACCAAACCGTTTGAGAGCCACTACTTAGACTAAAGTGAACTATCTAAACCCTCAGAGAGTCCTTCACCTCCCTGAGCTGTAGTTATCAGCCTCTCAGTCTGACAGGAGAGGACTCTCCTCCACCTCTTTAATAACAGTGCCGTATATCCGGGCAGGGGCGGACTGGCCAATGGCCCCCCCACTGGGCTGGGCTGGGCCGTTTTGATAGGCTACCAGTTCTGTTTCATATGAGTGTTGAGAGATGTATCCATAGATTTCCTAATGTTGCTCTCAAAGTGCACCAGATTGATGCATTTAACTTCAACATTTAAAAAAAAAATCTTCCCGGGGGAACATGCCCCCCTAGAGGAGGTGAGGTCCACCACCTTCCCACACCCCCTGTTAAATTGTCTCACCCACATTGAGGATGCTTCCTACGCCCATGTTTTAATCCATGCGTCAAGTCAGGCAAATTGGGTCCAAATGTTTTTGCATCAATGATCTGTTAACATTACAATCACTAAATATATGCTGTAACTATTTTGCTCTAGGCAACTCAAGGGCTCAGGTCATGTGATTACTATTTGAATAATGGTCCAAAATAACATTAAATGCAGGGTTTTTTGTTAAGTAACATACATTTGTTGCCGGCCGGCCGATGCATTAAGTGGGCCTCTCTGTCTTTAATCCCCGGGCCACTTTCCCCTAGTCCGCCCCGGGTTTCTAGAAAAGCGCTTCATAAATAAAATGCATTATTATTACTGTTAGGACAATCTGATATGTCAAAGAGAAAGTCCCAGGCTCCTCCAACAGAGCAGCATGAATATATATAAGACATTACAAATAAAACAGAAACAATAGTGCACGAGAATGTTTTGAGATGTGCAAATTAATACAAATAAAATAGAAATAGTGCCAGAAAAGTCTAAATAGGAGTAAATGGTGCAATCAGATGAATGTTTATGGATGTTCTTTAAAGAGTCCAGGTGTCTAATAGTCTCATGGCCTGTGGGATGAAACTGTATTTAATAAAGAATAGTCTCAGACCGCAGGTAGCTGAAGTGAAATGACACATATTTGAATAACTGGTATTTACAGCGACTCCACCTCTGTTTGAACTACTGTGTGTGTGTGTGTGTGTGTGTGTGTGTGTGTGTGTGTGTGTGTGTGTGTGTGTGTGTGTGTGTGTGTGTGTGTGTGTGTGTGTGTGTGTGTGTGTGTGTGTGTGTGTGTGTGTGTGTGTGTGTGTGTGTGTGTGTGTGTGTGTGTGTGTGTGTAGGTGTGGTGCAGCTCGAAATTCATCACACTTTCAGATTTTGAGATGGCAGTCTGACGTTCGGCAAGACTTTTTAAAACAGCCGACTGAACAAAAGGAGAAGAAATGGGATTGAAGTAAAGGGAATAAAACTCATCGTTAAACTCAGGTACTGTTGTTATATCATATGTATCACGATGTGTGTTGAAACTCTCTCTGTTGTTTGAGACCCAGACGCTTCTTGTTTGTTTCTGCTTCAATCCTTAAGAAACAGCCATTGTGTTGATTTATTTTATGCCATCTTTATTTCCCTTAATGTTCAAACTTCTCTCTTCTTATTTTTTATGTTACTTTTACCCCATGTACATTTTTTTTTTGAATTTCTTCTTCCAAACGTTCCCCCTGTTTCTGTATTTCCTTCCACATGTATTAGTAGAATACTTGATTGTATTGAAGTATATTTTTACATACTGGAATAAGTGAGAAACCCTCATGTTGTGTTCGGGTCTCCCGTTTCAAGTTCAAATGAATAACTACGCTCTAGTTTCTTTTATGGGAACAAGGCTTCATGATATCCTCCACAAATATAAATACTACAAAGCAGATTTTGACAATTTGAGCCAAGTCTGAAGGTCTCTAAAAACAAGTGTATAATTTGGTGTTGGGGTCTGGGGAGAGCCAGCAGAATTGTTTTTGGGTGACTCGAGGTCAAATTTGGCCCAATCAAGATTCGTCACTGACTTTAGACACCCCCCCCCC